GCACAGGTGTTTGCTTTGGTTGTTGTAGGACGACGAGAACGAACGCGAGTGTCGTTCGATGCCACACTGTTGGGTCGCCAGCCTTGCGCAGGCAGTTGTTGCGACTGTGTGCTGCGGACAGAATCACTCTGAACAAGTCGTACTGAAGAGGTAGAAAGAGTGTCACGGTTTCGGTGGCAGCTCTCACTCGGGTTGTCACGACCATCGTCAGCCAGACGACTTGAGAACGCAGCCAACACGTCGTTCGCCCCACCCAAGGCAAGCCTCCTCGATGGAGACACGACGACTTGAGCACAGGGCTACGATGGCCACCATCACACTTGTAGCAGCAATACAGGACAATAATTCATAAAGTTAACAGCGTTGCCTCGAATGGCATCTATCATCTAATGGCATGATTCTACCAGCCGTACTTGAAGGAAAAGAGGAGACCGGAAATCGTCGCCGTAATGGGCAACGTGATCACCCACGAAAAGATGATCCACAACACCATGCGCCAGTTGATGCTCCAGAGCTCGCCGTTGCACATCCCGACGGCGACCGTCGACCCCGTGATGCAGTGCGTCGTCGACACAGGCAGACCCAAGAACGACGCGACAATCACCGTAAACGACGCACCCAATTCCATCGTGAACCCACGCGACGGCGACTGGTACGTGATGTGGTTCCCCAACACCTTCATGATGTTGTACCCGTACAAGACGAGACCCAAGTCGATCGCAATCCCCATGGCAGCCAACAACCAGAAAGGCACAGGCACGTTCTTGCCAGGGATCTTGGCCGTCTCGTAGATCGTCAACATGGCCGAGAACGGACCCGACGCGTTCGCCACATCGTTCGAACCGTGCGCGAACGACGCAAACGCAGCCGTCGCCACTTGCAAGTACGAAAACAAGTACTCGGTCTTGCTGCTGTGCTTCTCCGCCTTCGCATGCATGTTCTCCATGAACTCGCCTTCCACCGTCACCACATCGACGTTCACCCCATGCGTAAACATCGACAACCAGCTCTTCTTCGTCTCGGCCTCCGGCTTGTCTTCCACGGCAAACGCGTCCGCGTTGGCGACCACAGGGGTCTCGATCTCAGCATACTTGGCGTCGTCCTTCTTCACCTTGCTCGCGTGGCCTTCCAACCAAGCCTCCAAGTCTTCGATCTTGGGCTGCGTCGGCACGCACCGAATGTAGAGCATGTGGTACCAGCGCAACGATTCTTCGTCCACGAGCAGGCGGCGAAAGTACGGCACGATGAACAGCCACACAAACAGTCCGACGACGACGCCACCGCCAATGAGCGAGATCAGCAACACCTTGGTCCAGTTCTCCGACGTGTTGTTCGCGTCCTTGGACAAGTCGATCCCCTTGGGCGCCTTGTTGATCACGAAGAACAAACAGATCGAGAGCGTGAACATAAAGAAGAGCGGGATGGAGGCCAGGCCGCGCTGCAGCGAGTTGGGCGATTTGAGCACGGTGAACTTGGTGATCAAGTAAAAGATGGACGCCAATACACCAGCCACGCCGGGCGACACCACCCAGGACAAGACAATCTTCCAGAACTCGGACGCATTGATCGCACTGAAGCCAAACTTGGCAATACCCGCACCAGCAATCGCACCCACAATCGAGTGGGTCGTCGAGACGGGGAACCCAAACCTGGACGCTGTGATGACCCAGAACGACGACGCCACAAGCGCACACATGAACGCAAACATCAACTGCTCCGGCACCGCTTGCCACAACTTGATGTCAATGATGCTGTTCTTGATGGCGGCCGTGGTTTCGGCGCCCATCAGGACAGCACCCCCGAACTCGGTGAACACGGCAATGATACACGCTTGCTTGAGCGTGATCGTGCGCGCAGCCACCGAGTTGGCGAACGAGTTGGCCACGTCGTTGGCACCGATGCCAAACGCATCCCAGAACGCGAAAAACCCGCCCGCGACCAGCAGGCCGATCAAGTCGTACGGTTGCATGATAGGAGGGAGATTTCAGAGTGAGGCTACCCCTCCAGACAGGACAAACGTGCCTTCAAGAATGCTGCCAGCCTCCAAGTCCTCTCACACACAGACGGCTATATTCGCTCGAAGGGATTGGGTTATGCCGTGGAATCTCGTGTCGAAGCTGGCTGTTTCTGACCGGTCGTATCAAAGCCCGCCCTCATTCAAACATTCGACTCGATACCCAAGCCAGCAGGAACGA